ATTTGGAGGGCCTGAAAAGTTTAAGGTGTTGCTGCGCAAAAGGGTGGGGAGCCGCGGCGGCGCCGCAGGCGCGGGCGCGCAGTGGAAGCACGCTAGCCATACATGTTCACGCAGAGAAGCTGACGGTCGGGGTCGTGACGGCTCGAGGGTGCGCACACTAGCGGCCGGACGCCTCACCCGCGGACGCCTCACCCGCGGACGCCTCACCCGCACGCGCACCCTCCAACATCGCCGCCGAGCCCAACGCCCTGCCGTCAATCTCGACGAGCGCCGCACACCTGCGCGGACAGTGGGCAGACGTTGCCGCCTTGTGTCCTCGTGTGCCCGGAAAGCCTCGAGCCGGCGCGCACCGGTGGCAGCGCAGGATGAGGCGGCAGCAGTGGAGGGTTGGGGCGCATTTGAAGGCGCTGGCCCCGACGCGCCATTAACTGGGTCGGGGTGGTTCCTCACCCCTCTGGTTTCAGTCAAGCGGGAAGAGTCTGTGCAAGGGGGGCGGATGGGGCTGGCTGCGTCACCTTGGAGCATGAAAGGTTCCTACAGTAAGGCTACTCGAGTACGCAGCACCTTGGCTTGGCCCCCGAGCGGGGAGGCGGTCGACGACGCGCAGCATGGCGGTGAGCGCAGCCTGACGACGCGTCTTGATGGACGGATCCTTCTGCCGACTGACCAGCTTCGCCCAATCCTTGATCAGCGGCTTCGTCACCAACATGCGCTCGAGAGGCGGAGCAGCCTCGATGCGATCCAATTCGGTAGCTATCTTGTAGCGCAGCGCATCGTCAAAAGGAAGCTTGTTGCAGGCGTCGCGCGCCTCCCCGAGGTCACGCAGGAAGCTCTCCATATATGTTGCAATAGCCCCCGGCTGGTTGGCTACTGCAGTGCTCCCGTAAAACGTCTTCGCACCAGGCTTGCGGCCCCCGTCCACGGCGCAGATCACGCAGTTCGTGCACGGTATTCGGATTTTGCTATTTGCTCGTGTGGGGGTATATTGCAGATTTGTCAATGGTACCGCGTCTGCGACGCGGGCGCCTTGCGAGCAGAGCCCTTAGCCACCCTTTTATGTCTTGCGCGGTCAAAAACTTTAGGTAAGAGCCACATACATTGAAAAAACACTGCCGGCACTTTCGAAGAAGTTTCCGCTCGAGCCCACCTCCGGTACATCTCTTGAGCATGAACGTCCAGGAGACACCCTCCACGGACGTCGAGATTGGAGGCATCCGCACGCGCGGCTCCTTCCAAGCCGGCCAGAGTGAGACGCGCGTACCAATCACGTTCAAGGATCTGAAGGCGCCGCGCTCGCTACTTGCACTGCGCCCTCGCGCGCTCCCTGCGCGTGAGGCCCCTCCCATGCGTCGCCTCGCAGTATTCGGTGCGCACTAAGAAGGAGGGCACCAAGGTAATCCTGCAGGGTCTCACCGGCCACTTTCGTGCCGGCCGGCTGACCGCCCTCTTTGGGAGCAGCGGGTGCGGGAAGACATCCCTGATGGACGTGCTCGCCGGGCGGAAGACGACGGGCACGATCGTGGGCGAGGTCCGCTTCAACGGCGCCACGTGCTTGAAGAAGAACATCAAGCACCTCTGTGGCTATGTCGAACAGTTTGACAATCTCGTTGAGGCGCGCAAAGCGCCATCGATATCAACTGACACCTCTATTTAAAATATCGCCAGGGCCCACACGCAACACAGTCGAGCCGCGCCTCGCTCACACAGTCGGTTGTGCGGTCAGGTGCTCAGCGTCGAGCAGATGCTCATGTACACCGCCGAGCTCAAGCTGCCCGCGCTGACGCGGGCGCAGAAGCGCGAGCGGGTGGAGGAGGTAATCGCGCAGCTGCGTCTCGAGGGCTGCCGCAAGACGGTCATTGGCGGCGAGCTCGTCAAGGGCATCTCGGGCGGGCAGAAGAAGTGCGCCGTCATCCGCCCTCCCGCCTCAGTGGCGCGGCACAGCGCCCCACGACACGTCCGCGGCACGGCCGTCGCAGGCGTGTCAACATCGGCCTCTCGCTCATCACGCGGCCGCCCGTGCTCTTCCTCGATGAGCCAACGACCGGCCTCGACTCGGCGATGGCGGACGAGGTGTGCGCAGTCATGTCCCTCCTCGCCGCGCAGGGCCGTACCGTCGTCGCGACCATCCACTCGCCGACTGCGAGCGCCTTCTCGCTCTTCGACGACCTTCTCATGCTGCGCGACGGGCAGCTCGTCTACGCCGGAGAGTGCGGCGACGCCGCCGCCGACTACTTTTCGAAGCGGGTCGGGCTGCGGCCGCTCGAGATGGGCGAGTCGATGCCGGAGTGAGCTCGCCCCTCCCAGAGATGCGCTGGGCCCACCCGGCTCCCGGACAGCAGCTCTAGGATGCGAGCTCACCCGAGACCACCCGAGGCCACCTGAGACCCCCCGAGATCACCCGAGGTAGGTGGCTGGTGGACGCGATGAGCCCGCACGCAGTCGTCGATGACAAGCTCCTCTCGCACAAGGCGCGACCTCGGGAAACCTTGGGCTCACCTCAAGCTCACATCGGCTCAGCTCGGCTCATCTCGCGCCTCCTCCCACAAGGCGCGCGCGCTCGCCGCGAAGCGGGCGCGCGGCTCGGCGGCCGGCGACGCCCTCGCCACCGCCACCCTCGCCGCAACCTTTCGGGAGAGCGACGCCTGGACCAGTCTCGAGGCGGAGCTGGCGCTGGCGCACGGCGACGGCACCAAGCCGCCGGTGGCGGTGCCGGCGCACTTGCGGCGTGCGTCGCCGCTGAGGGTGCCGCCTCCCCTCGAGCGGGCAGCGGGAAGAGGAATGGGCGCCCGTCGGTGACGCGTCCGCGGCTCACTCTCCAGGCGATCCTCATCCTGCTTAAGTACCGCGCGCTGACCGACTACCGCGACCCCGTCTACTTGGGGCCGCGCATCGGCGACAAGCTCGTCTTCTCGCTCATCGTGCTCACGCTCTACCTGGGCGAGGGCGGCGAGATGGCGCCCGCAAAGGTGCGAAGTCTCGAGCAATCTCTAGCCGTCTCGGGCCCTCTCGGGCCCTCTCGGGGGTTCGAGAGAGCGCCTGCAAAGGCGGCTCCACTTCGGCGAGATGGCGGCTAGGCCTCTCTCCACGCAGTCCCGTCGCTGACGCCGCGCGTGGCGGGTCCCTCAGGTCGCGGGCGTCACTGGCATACTCTTCATGGTGACGGCGCTCTGCGGCTACGGCGCCGCCTCGGTGGCGCCCTCGCTCGCCCTCGGCTTAGTAGGGCCCTCGCTTGACCCTTCTCGGAACCTTCCCCCGCGCAGGTGGTGCCCTCGCTCGTCCTCGACCGGCCGCTCTTCTACCGCGAGACAAACGATGGCTGCTACGGCCCCTTCGCCTACTTCACGTACAAGATCATCCAGGAGCGCCCCCGCCTGATCCTCGCTGGCCTGATCCTTCCTTGGCCACCGGCCTAGCCCTCGCCTGGCCCGCGCTGCCAACCCCTCACGTCACCCTTTGCCCCGAGGACCCTCCCCTCGCCAAGTCGCCGACCGGCGGCGCCCTCTCGCTCTGGTGCCGCAGGAGGGCTTCCTGTGCGTCTTCACGTCGCTCCTCTTCACCGTCGTCATCTTCTGGGGCGTGCAGTTCCAGGGCAGCTTCTTCATCCTGATGCTCTCCTACTACCTGGTGACAATGATCTCGATCGCACTCGCCTATGCCATCGCCTCTCTCGCGCCGACGCTCGAGGCGGCCTCCGCGATGCTGCCGACTTACGTCACCACGGTCATGTTCGTGGCGGGGCTCATCAT